TGAGGATCATAACCCTGGATACATCCACCTTCATAATAGTGCTCTACTACTACCACTATAGTGGGCATGGCCGCCTGTCTTCACAGCTTAGCGCCGCCCAGCGGGGCTCTCTGGCGCACAGTCAACCCGCGATAGCGCACAAGCAGCCAACAGCGCTTCCACCTTCTCACGAGTGAACAATCTGTCTGAATGGCACTGAGCCAGTCTTTTTATGTTGACTGGACTGGGCCTTGGCTTGACTTTGACTGGTACCTTTTGCCCATGGTCTGTTTGCGGTTTGGAAATTTGAGGCCCGGTACCTTCCAGACTTTTCTTGGAGCACTGCTGCATTTGGACTGTGGGATTTCACTTTTGAGGCTGGGTACCGGTTGAACACTGACCTGTCTGGCCTTTGGGATACCCAATGTGACGTTTTTCTGTTTCGGCCTCTTCGGCCTCTTTTAGACTTGGGGACTGTGAACCTAGGACTCGAATTTGGGGTCTGCAAAACAGGGTTGCATCCGCCGATGGTCAGCGGACCTCGGTCGGATGCCGACCTACCGACCTTTTCAGTGTTCGGTGCCGACCGGTCGGCGGTGGTCGGCCTGCTGCACATTTGCGCAGCGGCGCGCCGCAACCCCCAGGCCCAGTTTATGGGGTTCGGGCCAGTACCGGGGTGGTTGGCCGTTGGGGGCGCGGCCTGGGAGGCCACCGACCGTCGATGCCGGCATTTCCGCGGTTGGTGGCAATGAACAGAATGTGGCTGCCCCCACTCTTCTCATTCTCCTGCGGTGGAGTTGTGGGCAGCCGTGAGTGTGGCCAGCCACATTGCCTGGGGATGTGAGAAGAGAGCCGGCAGGTGTGTTGAAGCAGGGAGACATGGGCAGGGTGGAGGAGATGGGGCGGCAGCTTGATGCTTGGTGACAGGTTAGGTGAGGTGAGGTGGAGGAGTCCACTCACCTCATTCGGACGTCGAAGGTTCCTGCGTTGTGGCATTCAAGAAAGGCTGCTTTCTGCCTCTTCCGGTCAGTGTGTGTGTGAGAGAGAGAGATCGGCAGCCGGAGAGAGAGAGAAATTTTTTCGTCTTCTATACTTCTTCTTCTTCTTCTTCTTCTTCTTCTTCTTCTTCTTCTTCTTTTCAAACATTCGTATGCCCTACTTCTTCTTCTTCGTTTTCTCCTTCTTCTTCTTCTTCTTCTTCTTCTTCTTCTTCTTCGTCGTCGTCGTCTTTTTCTTCTTCTTCTTCTACTTCTTCTCTCCTCCTTTTTCCCATCCACGATATCCCCACTTCGATTTATTTTTTTTAAATCGCTTCGTTTGCTATTAGTTTGCCCTAATTATTCTCCTTCTCCTTCTTCTCCTTCTCCTTCTCCTTCTCCTTCTCCTTCTTCTTCTTCTTCTCTCCTCGTTTTTCCCACCACGACATCCTTATTATGATTTTTTTTTTTAAATCGCTGCATTTGCAATCAGTTTGCTCTTCTTCTTCTTCTTCTTCTTCTTCTTCTTCTTCTTCTTCTTCTCCTTCTCCTTCTCCTTCTTCTCCTTCTCCTTCTCCTTCTCCTTGTTCTCCTTGTTCTCCTTCTCCTTCTCCTTCTTCTCCTTCTTCTCCTTCCGCGGGCTTCTCCTTCTCCTTCACCTTCTTCTCCTTCTTCTCCTTCTTCTCCTTCTCCTTCTTCTCCTTCTGCGGGCTTCTCCTTCCTCTCCTTCTCCTTCTTCTCCTTCTTCTCCTTCACCTTCTTCTCTTCACCTTCTTCTCCTTCACCTTCTTCTCTTTCTCCTTCTTCTCCTTCTCCTTCTTCTCCTTCACCTTCTTCTCCTTCTTCTTCTCCTTCACCTTCTTCTCCTTCTCCTTCTTCTCCTTCCGCAGACAGGGCCTTCGTCCTCAAGTGGTTGTATCCTGGCATTGGTTGTATCTAGACATTCTCAACATCTTACAAGTCGGAATTCACGGCATTGAAGGCGATGGCGTTCTCGAAGAAGAAAGAGGCAACCGCTTGGTCAAACTCTTTCTGCAACTCATCCACGATGAACCTGTTCATGGACGACCATTGTCCAACCGATGGGGGTCGTGGAGGGCGAGCAGCACCCAGAACGGGACCCCACAGGTGCTCAACAATCTCCGAAGAAGAATAAGGAGAAGGAGAAGGAGAAGGAGGAGGAGAAGGAGGAGGAGAAAAAGAAGAAGGAGGAAGAGGAAGAAAAAGAAGAAGAAGAAGAAAAAGGAAGAGGAAGAAGAAGAAGAAGAAAGAGGAAGAGGAAGAGGAAGAGGAAGAAGAGGAAGAAGGAAGGAGGAAGAAAAAGAGGAGGAGGAAGAGGAAGAAGATTGCTTCGGTGCCATGGATTGGGGAGGTGATTCTGCAGGGCAGGGAAATCACCACTTTCATCAAGAGACACCAGCGAGTGTTGGAGATGTTGAGGACTAGGAGGCAGCACAAGACATAGTTGGGTATCACAGATGGGATGCCTTTGGAGTTTATCCAACTGGGGGGGACTTTATTCGTCACAACTTCCTCATGCTGCAGCGACTTCGGGAGTGCGAGGATGTGTTGTTGTCGACTGTTTCCCACCCGCGGTGGGATGACTCTCCATCGGACCGGGCCGCAGCGGCACGGGCGCGATCGTGCAAGGAGCTCATACGAGACGGACTTGGTGGTTGACCGTGGAGCGGGCATGTACCTTGCTTGAGCCTGTTTATGCCCTCATGAAGGACATGGACAAAGATGGGAGGATGGGTATGGGGAGACTTGATTCGTCACAAACTTCCTCATGCTGCAGCGACTTCGGGAGTGCGAGGATGTGTTGTTGTCGACTGTTTCCCACCCACGGTGGGATGACTCTCCATCGGATCGGACCGCAGCGGCACGGGCGCGATCGTGCAAGGAGCTCATACAAGACCGACTTGGTGGTTGACCGTGGAGCGGGCATATACCTTGCTTGAGCCTGTTTATGCCCTCGTGAAGGACATGGACAAAGATGGGAGGATGGGTATGCGGGTGTGGTCTTTGGGGATCACGCTGGAGAAGAGGATGGTCGTCCTGCCCATGCATTGCGAGACATGGGAGTTCGTGATGACGAAGGTGAGACCGTGTGCGGATGATGACTCTCATGCAACAACATGGATGTTGCACCCGCTCCACAGATCTGCTCGACTGTTCGACGTCTTGGCTTCTAAGGAGATCGCAAGCACTTTGGCTCACTTTGCTTCGGTTCACCCAAAGAATTCGGAGGAGTACAAAGAGTGTTGGAACTCCCTTAAGAGTTTCCATTATATGGATCTAGAGTGGAACGACCCGAATTCTGAGGAGGCTCACGTGTCTATGGCGCAGTGGTGGTTGAGTTATGGGAAGAACCACAAGACGCTGGCGAAGATTGCAGTCAAAGTGCTCAGCACGTGGACAACAACCTCTCCATGCGAGCGGAATTGGTCCCCGTTCAACCTCATTCACACGAAGAGGAGATTTGTTGAGGCCGGACAACCTGCAGACGCTTGTCTTCATCCATTGGGACAAGAAGTTGTTGCGCATGTCAAAGGCGAAGATGGGATTCATTACCACCGAGCGGCTCGAGTGGGTTTCATGCGAGCTGGGGAGTACTACCCCGCACCGCTAATTGGTCCAAATCTCGGCCACAGATAGAAGGGGACCAAATTCGACGTACGGGAGATTACTTTTCGAATTCGTGGCACTATTGAAATCTACCAAGGAGGAGAGGGTGGACGACGGGGCATGGCTCCTTGATCTTTCCTACAACCCTTGTCGTCGGCGATGACAACCGTGGGAAGACCATTGTTGTTGATGATGATGAGGAGGAGAGTGATGACAACGAGGGCGACGACGAGTTACTCGAAGTGCAGCTCACGGACAAGCGGTCCACCAGGCGGTCGGGCAGCAGCTCATCTTCCAGTCGTCATGACGACATCACACCGCCGGAGGTCCCTACATTTGGCGAGCATTCAGTGGTTGTTTCAGCATCATTACCCTGTGACACGGGTGTTCGTACACAACGCTAGAGCTCTGCGCCAGGCAGGGCACCAGCTCACTCTCGGGCACACATTGCACCTCTCATCGGTCAGCTGTGCTCGAGGAGATACCCGCAGGCTGCGGGACGACACACGAGGGATTGCCGAACGTTGACAGGGACTGTGTTGTGGTGGAAGTTGATGCAGACGTTGGTGTGCGTGGGGATGATCCGGTTCTTGCCACTGCAGCGCGGACATGGACAACCTGGTTCCTGGAACAGTCGAGGACACCGAGGCTGAGGGAGGCGATGTGTTTTCCAGTCCTGACCCCGGGTTGCGGCTGGGGGATTCGCCTCCTTATTGCACCACGTGGCCCCCATTGTGGTGAGTGGCTTTAACGCGGACTTCGCCAGACACCTCGCTGCGATGTCCCCGACGTGGACTGATTTTGAGGACCAGACTCCAGATTGGGCCAGATTCACTGGACCAACCCCACCCGCTCTACATTTGAGCGAGGACATTCCACCGGAGGCCGGGGCGGGATCACAGGGCATGGTTTACAGGAGGAGGATCCACTGAGGATGGAGGACCTAACCCTCCACAAGATGCAGCTGCACGACGTGCAGCAGTGTCGCCGCCCGAAATTGACGCAAGCAACGTGCGGCAAGTGAAGAGTTTGGCGGGCAGAAAGAAAGGAGGTGAGAACAAGCCTAAGGACACAACAGCAGTGGCACCAAAGACAAGAGGTGGAAGAGGCAAGGGACGCAAGACAACCACACCATCGGCGACCTTGCAAGAGAAGCATGTTGTCGTTCGGCAGGCAAAGACGAGGAAGGCACAAAGAGTTCAAAAGAAGGTCGCTGCAGCCTCACAATCGTTGAAACAGCATCCGCAGAAGAACAAGAAGCATGTGCAAGAGGACGACGACTCCAGTAGCAGTAGTGCTTCCTCTTCCGCAGAAGAAAAGGAACCGTAAGCATCATCATCACTAACACTTCGTCATCAACTGACACGAGTAGCAGCACTGAGAGAGAGGGAGAGAGAGAGAGAGAGAGAGAGAGAGAGAGAGAGAGAGAGAGAGAGAGAGAGAGAGAGAGAGTGTTACATGCTGCGCCTGCAAACGAGGGCCATTTTCAGGCCCTGGGTCGTTTCAGCCTGAAAGCCTGAAAACAAGGGCCTACAGGCCCTGTATCGTTTCAGCCTGAAAGCCTGAAAACAAGGCCCTACAGGCCCTGTGTCGTTTCAGCCTAAAACAGGGCCCTCCAGGCCCTGAGTCGTTTCAGCCTAAAACAGGGCCCTCCAGGCCCTGAGTCTTTTCAGCCTGAAACGGAGGGCCATTTTCAGGCCCTCATAAGATCGACCTGCCCTGAAACTTAGGCACCAGACCAGGGTTTTATCACAGGCCATTTTGGGCCTATTTTCAAGATAACCTTTGTTTGGACTTCAACGCCAGGGTTTGGCACGTTTTGGCATCGGCAAAAGCAGCCTCATGGACGGGCCAGCACTATATAAGACTGGCCCGCCCTGCAGGCTGCAGGTAGTTCAGAGGGACTTGCCAGGCACTTCACGTGCAGTTCAGGAGGCAGGAGGTAGTCTTCAGGATTCGGCAGCAGCACTCTGGAGGAGCGCTGCAATAGTAGTAGTAGCGTTAGCAGTAGTCTTGAGCGCTCGGCGCTAGTAGGAGCTAGAGTAGCACTGGAGAGAGAGAGAGAGAGTTGGTGGAGGCTAGGGAGACTTACCTGCAGCGCCATAGCTCCAGCTTCGCCTTCGAGGTACCTGCAGCACGGCGCCATCTTCAGAGGTTAGTACCTGGCACATGAAAGAGAGAGAGAGAGAGAGAGAGAGAGAGAGAGAGAGAGAGAGAGAGAGAGAGAGAGTTCTCCTTCTTCCTCCTCTCAGTCCACCATCTCTTCCTCACCCTCTCGCTATCTGACTTCTCGGCATCAGCATACTACGAGCGAGAGAGAGATTCGTGATTTTGGGGATGTTGACGACATTGGGCTACAGACTCGACTTCGGGATCGAGACATTGACGAGGGACTATTTGGGATCGATACTGTGTGACAACATTCCCATCTTCTCCCTCATCTTCGTCTAATCCCCCTCGTCTTCGTCTGTGGATGTTTGGGGCTGGCGCATTCTTCCTATGTGAGCGCCAGGCCCCTTCACACCTTGTAATGATGACGATGTATGTTTAGTCTGCATTGCAACATTGATTGGGTTGATCATTGATATCCTAGATGGGATGTCCTGTCAGTCCCGGTCAGGTCAGGACTGTCACGAACAAGGAGGCCAAGAACCTCAACCGTTCGTCTGCGACAGGCCCGAGCAGAGATCAGCATCGGCCGAAAGTGGTCGTGGTCGCGGCGGCAACGCCAACCGACTCTTCTAGCGAGGCCGTGTCTGCCAATGAAGGGGATAGACTCGCAACCGCCCGGGATGGTGGCTGCCCGGGCAAAGGTCGAGGATGAGGCAAGACGAAGACAAACACCGCATCTATCCTCGTGCCCGACGCAACAGCTCCTGCCCCATGGTCCCACTACGATCTCTCCGAACGTGCGTACGAGCTAAGCACGAGATTCCGATATTGTCTGTGGTGTAACAGTGATCTCCACAACACAGTGGGTTGCCCGTCGAAAGGCAAGGGCAAGTCGGGAAACTGGTCACCACCGGGAGTGAATCGACGACGCTCTCGACGCCTTCGGAACCGGTCACTTCGTGGGTGACCGCCCTTCGTTCTGAGGCACATGCGGAAGTCGATAGTCCTCCTCTTCTATATTCTTATGAGGACTATGCTGCCCGACTCGTTCCTACGCTGGGTACTCATGCTCAAGGACAAGACGTGTGTGCGGCATCTTCTTCGTCCGGCAGCGGCGACTTGTCGTCTTCAAGTGGTTCTTCACGGGATTCGGCGAGCGAGTTCAACATAGAGGTTTTGGGCTTCCTCTCCTGACCACGGGCCGCTCACGTCGGAGGATTTCGCATGGTTTCCTCTCCCGACCACGGGCCGCTTTCCGGGACCGCAATGCGCAACATTATGCGCTCATCTCCACACGTATCTATCCTTCTATGCACCACCAACTTCGCCGACGGATGACGAAGCTGTGCTGGGGGACATCCTTGCGTATCTTACCAAGGTGGCCCGTGAGTTTCGCAAGCAGCGGTACGATGACAACAATGAACCGCTCCTCTATGTCCGCATCCAAGTTGGGCAAGCGTCCTGCAGCGCTTTGCTGGATAGTGGTGCGTCTCGCAATTTCATGAGCCAAGCCTTTATGCAAAGGGCTGGCCTTGGCGCACATGTTCAGAGGAAGGGAAACCTGACGGCAATCAAGTTGGCGGACGGGAGGACGCAACAACTTATCGACCGTTACATAGAGGTCGTACTGGTGTATTTCGCACCTCATGCATGTGAACCGGTGACGTTCGACATTTTGGACACGGACTTTGATATCATTTTGGGAATGCCTTGGCTTGCAAGTGTGGATCACACGGTCAACTTCCACCGACGGACTCTTACCGTCCGGGACGCCTCTAGCGCCGAAGTGTCGTGCACTATTCCTCTTCCGCACCTTTCGATCCGGTGCCAAGTGGTGACGACCAAGTCGTGCCGGGCTACTTGCGCTTACAAGCAGCCCGACGAGATAGGCCTATGCTTCCTACGGACCGTTGTGGTAGCCGACTCTTCCCCCACGGACTTGTCTTCGGACCCCCGTATGGTTCAGTTGCTTGACGAGTTCACCACATCTTCAAGTCACCTACCGGAGTGGTGCCGGATCGGCCGATCTCTCACGAGATCATTCTTGAGGCCGATGCCGTGCCGCTGAAAGGTTGCATTTACCGCATGAGCGAGGAGGAGCTTACGGCCCTCCGCGCGCAACTCGACGACTTGTTGGACAAGGGCTGGATCCGCCCTAGTAGTCGGACAAGATTCAAGCCATCCAAGAGTGGTCGGAGCCACGGAACGTCATGGATGTTCGTTCGTTCCTTGAACTTGCCGGCTACTACCAAAGTTTTATCAAGGGATACTCGAAAATCGCGGCCCACTTCACCAAGCTTCAATGTGAGGATCGGTCGTTCGACTTCGGGGGGGATGCGCGGGAGTCATTCTTGGCTCTCAAAGCCGCATTATTGTCCGTGAAGGTCTTGCGAATCTACGACCCGCTATTGCCAACGCGCGTCACTACGGATGCGTCCAACTATGGCATTGGTGTCGTCCTCGAACAACACGATGGCGTGGGTTCGCACCCGGTCGAGTACTTCAGCAAGAAAGTGTCCGTTGTGCACTCCATTGATGATGCACGCAGGGAGCTCCTAGCCTTCGTCCATGCGCTCAAGCGGTGGCGGCACTTCCTCCTTGGTCGAAGTCCATTCCGATGGGTAACGGACAACAATCCGTTGGTCTTCTACAAGACCCAAGACACCGTCAATAGCACGATCGCCCGTTGGATGGCTTTCATCGACCAATTCGACTTCTTTCCCGATCACATTCCGGGGAAGTCTAACCGTTTCGCGGATGCTCTTTCACGGCGTCCGGATCATTGTACTGCAGTCTATTCGACCTTTGAGATCGACGACCTACGGGACAACTTCATCCACGGCTACCAAGCCGACCCCGAGTTTCGCGACAAGTACTTGAATTGCTCCTCTCCTAATCCGGCGCCTTCTCACTACCGGATCCAAGAGGGGTACTTGGTTGTCCACACGTGGGGGAAGGACCTTCTTTGCGTATCGAGTGACTCTCACTTGCGTACACGGCTTCTTGGCGAGTTCCACGATGCTCCCGCCACCGGACACTTTGGAGTAAATCGAACGAGTGGCCGCAATCATTGTCCGTACGACGAGTTGCGACCATTACCGGTCCCCTTGCACCAGAGGGAAGCGATTGCCATGGACATTACCAGGTCGTTCCCCAAGCACAAGACCGGTGTGGATGGGATTCTCACGGTGGTCGATCGACTCACCAAGTTCGCCATGTTTTTGCCTTGCCGCTATCATGCCAAGGCACCGGAGTTGGCCGAGGTTCTTTACACCGGTTGGATTCGAACCAAGGGTTACCCCAAGGAAATTGTCTGAGACTGCGACACTCGGTTCATGTCCAATTTTTGGTTGGCACTCATCAAACGATGGGGCTCATCTCACAAGCCGAGTTCGGCTGGCCACCCCCAAACCGATGGCCAAACGGAGAGGGCGCATCAGACCGCACAGGTTCTCCTTCGCACTCTCATCCATCCCGACCAAAAGGATTGGTTTGAGAGGTTGTCGGATGTCGAGTTAGCATACAACTCGTCCATCCACCCGGCTATCGGGATGTCGCCCTTCGAGTTCGAGCACGGCTCGCCAGTCACTTCTCGGTTGGACACAATCATTCCACGAGTGGCCGAGAGCGACGACCATCTTCTTTTCTTGCGTCAGATGCAAGAGCTACTTGTCAAGGCACGCGACCAGATGGCTAAGACGCAGCAACGCATGAGCCAACAGGCCAATCGCCGGCGTCTTCCTTGTCCATTCCGCGTCTACGACCTTGTCTGGGTTTCAGCCGCGAAGTTCAGCCTCGAACAAGATATCTCTCGCAAGCTCATCTCGAAATGGATGGGGCCCTAGCGGATCGTGACACCCGCTGGGGATGCACCCGAAGATCCTTCCTTCATTATTCAGGTGCCCGCCCACTTGCCCGTCTACCCGGTCTTTCATTGCTCCAAGTTGACTCTTTACATGCCAGCGGAACATGACGATTTTCTCGGGTGACGATCGCAAGACCCACCCTCTATGGACGGTTTTTTTTCAAGAGGTCGGCGACATCACATCCCAGCGACGCTACGGGAACAGACCGACCAAGTACTTGGTACACTTTGCGTACTGCACCCACAAAGCTGACCGTTGAGTTGACCCATGCGGAACTCCAAGCAACAATTACAAATGTTTTTGCACACTATGAACGCAAGATGCAAGGCAAGCCGGTATCTTCGGCTCCACCGCACCCGCGTCCAGGTTCCACCTTCAGATCGTCAGCTTCGCCCTCGACCCAGCTCGACTTCATAAGGAGGGGGGGGTGTTACATGCTGCGCCTGCAACATGCTGTGCCTGCAACATGCTGTGCCTGCAAACGAGGGCCATTTTCAGGCCATGGGTCGTTTCAGCCTGAAAGCCTGAAAACAAGGGCCTACAGGCCCTGTGTCGTTTCAGCCTGAAAGCCTGAAAACAAGGGCCTACAGGCCTTGTGTCGTTTCAACCTAAAACCAGGCCCTCCAGGTCCTGAGTCTTTTCAGCCTGAAATGGAGGGCCATTTTCAAGCCCTCGTAAGATCGACCTGCCCTGAAACTTAGGCACCAGACGAGGGTTTTAGCACAGGCCATTTTGGGCCTGTTTTCAGGACAACCTTTGTTTGAATTTCAACGCCAGGGTCGGGCACGTTTTGGCATTGGCAAGAGCAGCCTCCTGGACGGGCCAGCACTATATAAGACTGGACCGCCCTGCAGGCTATAGGTAGTTCAGAGGGGACTTCCCAGGCACTTCACATGCAGTTAAGGAGGCAGGAGGTAGTCTTCAGGATTCGGCAGCAGCACTCAGGAGGAGC